AGCAGCAACAGGAGGTAATGTGAGGTGTACAGATGCAGACGCCAGTCAGACTGCAGGGCTGAAACACAAGTAAAACTATTTCCAGTGATTTATTACTTCTTTGTTTATCCCTGAAACCGTCACACCACCGGTTTTAAACCATTTTCCAAAGTGGGGCAACAGTGTTCAAAGCCCCACTCAACTTTAGCAGTTTAGTGTACATGCTGAATTGTTTAAATCTACTGTACTAAGTGCACATTTTATATTTTATGTATTTTATATTTTACTAATTGTTCTGTCAAGTGTCCCGAGTGTCTGAACCTTGTGCTCATGTTCAGGTTCATCTGTCAGGAGAGAGGAAGTCTGAAGAGAAAGTCTGGACGGTAAGATTCACAGTCAGTTTCTCCAGAGCTACATAAGAACACAGACACACACTGTGTTAATGTCCTCCTCCTCCTCCTCCTCTTCCTCCCCCTCCTCCTCCTCCTCCTCCTCCTCGCCTTAATCCACCCATCAGCAGCAGCGTAGTTTCCCCTCTGACCCGGCGCCGCTCAGTCTCCTGTTTTCAGATTATATCTCATAATGTCTTATAGTTTTTATATCTGCTCTTCGTTCTGCAGCAGCTAATGATTTTCTGATTGTGTGGAAATGAATGGAAGTCAATGGCTGCAGAGAGAATACAGCAACATGTGTGAGAGACGTGGTCTGAACGCCCCCAGAGATCCTCCCGCTGACCTTTCACCTCTGCCCTCATGAGGCATTTGTCTTACCTGTCCTCTCTCTCTCTCTCTCTCTCTCTCTCTCTCTGTCTCTCGCCCTCAGTCTGGACTCTGGTTTTCCTGCCTCAGCTCTGTGATTGAGGAAACTGTTGTATAAACAGTTTTGTTGTTGTCTCTAGCTCAGCCAAGGTCTCACTGCAGGGTGGGTGTGTGTATGTGTGTGTGTGTGTGTGTGTGTTTTGCCTGTTCCTTCGAGGAACTGTCAAGTTCCTGTCTCACTGTTTATTAATTATTATTTTAAAATATCAATTCATTCAGAAAATGTCGGACTGTTCCTTTAATCATCCACCAATGAAATAAAGTGAAACGTTGATGCAGGTGAGTCTGTAACCTCCGGCCTCCGCTGTCGTCCCCGCAGGTGCACGCCTACATCATCAGTCACCTGAAGAAGGAGATGCCGTCTCTGTTTGGGCGGGAGAAGAAGAAGGAGGAGCTGATCATGAGGCTGCCGGAGATCTACACCATCCTGCAGAGAGAGCACCACATCAGCCCCGGAGACTTCCCCAACGTCGCCAAGATGCAGGTACAGAGCCGCATCAGAGCCGCATCAGAGCCGCATCAGAGCCGCATCAGAGCCGCATCAGAGCCGCATCAGAGCCACAGGGTCGGGCTCAAAAGAAACATCATGATTTTCAGTGTTTAGATCTTATTTTACAAATGTTCTCCAGGGTGAGTTTGATTAAAAACACTCTGCAGAACTTCCCTCACAATCGTCATATTGAAGCTTTCTGCGGTGTGGCAGTGATCCAGTGATAGTTGTCGGTGCATCCATGTGTTCACTGCAAACAGGAAGTGCTGATAGAGAATTCAGCTGCTTTTAATGGTGCCAGTGTGAAAAGTCACATGGTTTAACACACTTGTGTTTGTTGATGCAGCTCAGGGAGGAGTTAGGATAAAAACACGGCAGAACTGCTGTCACGTGAAAACGGGTGACAGGTGACAGGTGACGGTGACGGTGACGGTGACATCACGTGTTGAGCACAAACAGCCTGAGAACAGTGTGTGACCTGGAGACGAACAAATCCAGAGGTTTACTGATGAAAACACACAGTCTGCAGCTGCAAAGTCAGGCCTGCAGAGAGATGCTGCACCGCAGGTGNGTGTGTGTGTGTGTGTGTGTGTGTGTGTGTGTGTGTGTGTGTGTGTGTGTGTGTGTGTGTGTGTGTGTGTGTGTGTGTGTGATTGTACACATCGCACCAGGGAACTGAAAAATCCAAAACATCCACTCTCGCCAACAATTTGATAAATACAAGTGTCGCTGGGGAACACACACACACACACACACACACACACACACACACACACACACAC